AGTTGACAACAGAAATTGTAATAGAATCACGTGGCTGGATGACGAAGAGAAAGAGCAAAAAAGAAAACTCGCGTGGAGTAGGTATAACTGAGGAGAGAAATAAAAATGAGAGCAATAGGAGTAGTGGATGGGCTCCAGTTGTATAGCCCGTCAAGATGAATGGATAAAGAAGAGTGAGGACAGGATAAAATTTGATAACAATTTTTCAAATGAGAATTAGACGCTTTTCACCGGCATTTACCCGTTAGTTTCCACTGGAGCTAGCCTGCGGTTTTATTTAATATTAGCCCAGTTTCCGGGTTAAATTGTTGAAGGGGGAGGGGAGGGCTGAGAGGACCAACAGAACAGCTCGGAAATTTGCATCTTAATCGGGACCCTATTACAGTAACGTCGTTGCAACCGTTGGGCTGGCATCCAAAACCCTGGAAACGTCCGCCAACCTATAAAAGCCATTGGTGCTTTGTACGCGACAGTGTCAAATCGAGGTGTCGAAAGGTTACTGTTATCCTATATCCATAGCGGGGGCGGGAGGGAGGGAGGGAGGGAGGGAGTGAATCTCAATGCGAACCACCCGTGGATAATAGAAAACGATTCAGTTGGTGAATGCCAATCGCTGATTGACTCCCATTGTTGTACGTCTATCACTCATTACTTCCGCCACAAATCGCTTCCGTTTTCCACCCCAAACTTTATTCCGGGCTTTATCATTCGGATTTCTATTCAAGTGCACTCGGGTAAGTAGTCGATGGATTTGTGACTCTTTAAATTTATCGGTCATTCATTAGGATTTAGGTCTTTGGAGTCTATCAATGGGATTTTACTTTGTTTGATTGTAAATAATGATACTCAATAAATAAAACAGTAATTGTCAAAAGAGAGAGAGAGAGAGAGAGAGAGATTAAATGAAATTTTTGAGTTGAAGGAAAACTGCAATTCTCCAATTAATTGCAAATTAAAAAATTTATATTTGCCTGAAATTTTCCCATTTCTACTAATTGTCTTGTCAACTGACATTTCCAACCAACCAAGTGAACTGAAAATTTTAGTGAAAAAATTCAAGCACTAAATCCCTTTGCAATTTATTCCGAATATTGTAATTAGACTGAATATTGAATGCGTCAAATGATTAATTGGATGTATTGATTCAGTAATTTCTGCTGACCCACAGATGCCGAATCTGCAACATTAATTATGGTGAATTGCATATAATGCAGTGGCAAATGTCTGAGAGTAATCGGTCTGAACAGAGAGAGAGAGAGAGAGAGAGGGGAGAGAGAGAAAAGAGTCGATAATGCTAATACAGCCACCATCGAAAATGACACGTCATATTGCATGCAATGGTTCATTTGACGAGCTCAATTGAATTTACCAAGTGTGACGATGAATTAAGAGTAACTCAATCAGAATGTCTGGGTTACTTCCAATGGGGAAAGGTTTAATTATCGATGGCAGTGGAAATTCCAATCACATCCAGTGTTTCTTTTATATTATCAAGAATTAATGATGATGAAAAAGTCATGAAATTTCACTCAAGTTATAGTGTTGCTACATTAAAAAAAAAAATTGGTATCAAGATTTTAGAAGAATGTAATTATCGATTGCGGAAGCAATTTTATCAACAATTGAATTCCATAAAACGACATCTCCTGAGCACGAATCAAACCCAGTGTTTCTTTTATATTTCCACCAGAGGCATGAACGTGTGAAGATATGAAAGAATACTGTAAACATGAACCATAAAAGAGCCTGCAATAGTGAAAAAGGTATTGATGATGATGAAAAAAACTGGAAACATGAGGTGGAATTCTCTCTGTGGAATATGATACCACTGGTATGTGAGTGTTTGAGTGTCGATAGATTTTCATGCGGATCCCCATCAGTAGTTGGCCCACGGCCATGTAACGCATCCACCGGTAATCTCAGTATGGAAAATTCGCTTAGACTTGTGAGGACAATGACAATCGGGTTATTGCATATATCGATATGCATTTACTGGTGCACTTGGGTATGCAACTATGAAGGAAAGTTTTCTGAAATTATGCCAATACTTCTGGAAGCTTTGCCAATGTTACCCGGCGGCGCCCGCGAGTTTACCGCATTTTATTTTCTCGTTTGTTTTTCACAGCAATCCAGAGAGATGAAACTTCCAATGACGAGCCCCCAACTTTTTATACTCAATGATTTTTCAATAACGTGGAAAAATGATCTTCAACTTTCGGAATTCGGAATACGTACAGGTGTATTGAGGGGAAATAGTCAGCGAATCCGGAACTCTGGAACTCTCTAATGAAAGCATTTTCTTTCCACTTGAAACTTTTTTAGCTACATCACGGTGTAGCTATATATAAAGGGCTAAGTCACATTCCAACTTCAAGTTGTGATTTTTTTTTTTATGAGGCTCAATTGAGGTGAGAAATAAACTTTGTGAGTGACATTCTATGGAGATGGAAGTGAAAGATCATTTCTGAATTATTCTCAATCCAATTAAAGAATTATAGGAAAAATTTATTAGCAATTTCTCAAGGTAAAATAGTCTTCAATTTTGTTGAATTGAGGCAGAGACTTTAAACCCAAGACTGGGTTAAGAAATTATGACAACGAGCGAGGCCCTTCCAAGTTGTTTCACTTTTTTCACTGTAAAAATAACTGCACCAAAAAGATTGACCAACTTGTACCGACAATTGTTTTCTCCTTTACCGGAAAAGCCCCCTTGCCCCCTTTGCTCCAGCATTTTGACCCAGAGTACAGAGTAACTGCGAGATTGGGCTTGTTCGAGCGACTGTTATTAACGAGAAACCCCTCCCCCACCAACACCGAGGGGTTTTCGTACTACGTGCTCCGTATTTCGAATAGTTGCGGCACTCGTCGTTCGTCACTCTGCAATTATCGTCAACGGCGATGGCATCGAGGACGGCCGTCCAATTAATTCGAGAAATTCATCGAGGCTTGCAGGGGTAAAACGAGCATCGATCCGCCTTTTTTCGCGGCCCATTCTGAACGCACTCTAAAGATTCCCATTTTCCCCTTTTTAATCTCCTTTCTGTTTTTTTTTCACACTCTTTTGTTTTCATCACACCGTGAGCCATGTTAACCCGGTTTACTTGACAAACGATGTCTCATTATTCATCAGCACGGATATGTCGGAAATGATGGTGAAATGTGAGAGAGCTTCGAGTCCAGAGAATTGTCGGAGTGATTAGTATGTACACCTTGACATAAGCACAAAACTAAGTTTGTGTAGATACTTGCCTAGCGTATTGGCAAAATCTTTGGCAAGTACTACCATCAAAGCTTGGTCGATGCTTGGCATTGTCAGTCGGTCGTATCAATTTCCTGGAGAAAACTTGTATTATTTTCCTGAAAAACAAGATCCTCCAATAACTCACTCACCAAGTTTAATTTAGTCTCATATCAAAGTTAGATAGATGGGCTACTCTCTCTCTCTCTCTCTCTCTCTCTCTTAGTTTCTAATAATCTATGTGAGAAATGGAACCAAGTTTAAGGATCTCCATTAGTTTCTCTTCTTACTCAAACAGTCAACTCACAGCTGTGCCATTTTCCAAGGAAAAGTATCATCAAATAGACAAACGGCAAACTTCAATTATCGACTGTGTTCCATGTCAACGAGCTTAAATCATTGTCTCCGAATCACCGTATCAAAAGCCTACTCCAATTCCCTTAATTCTCACCGAGTGATGGTAATTTGCATTTTCCATCAATATTTATGAGCAATTTAATTTATGTTAATAATTTATCAAATATCATGTAGTTTATCATCTCATCGTTATTGCTATCAAAGATGAATGAGGATGTGACAAAAAATTTCTAATCAAAAACATGACAAACTCTCTCACTGAAGACAACATGAAATAGATGAGAGAGTTTCATCAATGCATGTCTCTGTACGCAGTTTCCAACGTATACCTCCCAGTCCAAGTGAAGATTTCTATTTATTCGTGTGCTGTGGAGCGTATTTGTTCAAGGCCAGAGTAAACCTGTAGTGCCCCTTCAATGAAGACTGTGCAAACTTTCTGCTCTCTATGCTGGTGTATGAGGCTCTGGTGTTTGGGCATAAATGTATACATACGTACAAAGTGACTTATCAGAGGAGCTCAGTGGAGCAGTCTCTATTAATGTAAAACCTAATGTAACGATGAAAATTGCCTTGGTATTTATTAATATAATCCTTAGAGGAGAAGCTAGTGATAATGTTCCGGTGTGTTTTTAGCGTTAATTCATTCATCAGATGAGAAGAGTGAGTTGAGTGCATCCTCCTCTTCCGTCGACATGACGTGTAAAAAAGCCAACATTAAGGATATATTATTATTCTCCTACTCAATATATAGTATACATCTATAATCCCCAACAAATTCATCAGCATGAAGCAGCAGCTCTGCTCCATCTTCTTCTTGCGGTCTATCGACGCTGATAATTAGTTATCTGTCGTAGCTCATCCGTTATTAAACGATACATAGATAAATTCTCAAGGTACATGCGCGCTGCGCTGTTCCTGAACCCTATTGGAGCTTTTAGCCCATAATATTATACTTTCCCTCGAGTGATGGTGCAAGAGGCGGCAAGTCTTGCGAGGCTGGCACAGTGTGTCGGGACTTTATCGAATTTGAGTGGCACGATAATCAGATCAGACCTTGGCTCTGGGAATATATTTATCAGCGTGTTACGTAAGCAGCCTCTCGGTTGGATGAGAATGAGTGAGGATAGCTACCCTACGAAATTTTGCCAAAGTGCCCGCTTAATTCTATCTTCTTCGGTGAAACTTTGGGTTAAGACAGTGAATCCACTTACAATGTTTGAGCATCGCGTATCCTCGAGTCTATTAGAATGCGTGCAAGGCTTTGGTAAAAATGCTAATGCAACTTTATCATTTTTTCATCAATCTACGCTTGAAAAAATAATGTCGTCCTTACGACGTGTATCAATTGTGAAACAAGTGGCATGTAAGTGGAAAGTAAAGCATAAAACTCGTTTTTCTTTCACAGGTGGAACCATCAATGAGGCCGGAGTTTTTGCCCTGCGTGGTAGACAAGAGGGCAGTAGAAGATCTAGAAGAACCACCACTAGCACACAGAGAACGACCGCCTTAGCCGTTGCCCCAACGACACAGACCTCAACATCCGAGGATGTTGCTCAACCCGCTGCACTTCTAGCGCCAGATGATCAAACATGGTTTGTCGCTTCTACTCCAACACCCGACCACTTTCCATTATCAATAGCCACTTCGAGACTACCACCACTTGAGATTGTTGTCAAACCAGCGGACAAAGTCATCTTGCCCTGTGAACTGGGGGGAAACTATTCCACATTGCTGCCAATCACAAGGTAAACTATCTCCAAATAATGGCATTTTTCTAGCCTAGCCTAGTTTCATAGTCATCATAACGAGTTATCGCACGACAAACTTGAAACTCTGGCATCATTCAATCCATCCAATTTAGTAGCAATGGAAATTTCAAATGCTGCATGCATTGAAATAACTTGAAGCTTTTCAACGAGACGAGAAAATAATGGTAAATTTATATGTAGCAGGAGTTATCGGGCCAGACCTGCCAAGTGGCTGCACAATGACAAGCCAGTTGACATGATAACAATAAATACGGAGAAAGAGATAAGTGGAACGGGTCACAGGTATATCGGAGACTCAATCTCAGCATCACTACATATTGATAGTGCTAGACTCGAGGATGATGGTCTGTGGAAATGTATCATAGAGACTGATCGGGGTGAACTGCTTGCTGGGAGACTGGTCAAACTTGTCATTCTGGGTAAGCTAAAGAATCTTCATTTTTTATAATGACGAAATTCCTTAATTGTATAATAGGCAATATCAAACTTGAATCAGATTTTTTTTTTTTTTTTTTTTTTTTTTTTTTTTTTTTTTTTTTTTTTTTTTTTTTTTTTTTTTTTTTTTTTTTTTTTTTTTTTTTTTTTTTTTTTTTTTTTTTTTTTTTTTTTTTTTTTTTTTTTTTTTTTTTTTTTTTTTTTTTTTTTTTTTTTTTTTTTTTTTTTTTTTTTTTTTTTTTTTTTTTTTTTTTTTTTTTTTTTTTTTTTTTTTTTTTTTTTTTTTTTTTTTTTTTTTTTTTTTTTTTTTTTTTTTTTTTTTTTTTTTTTTTTTTTTTTTTTTTTTTTTTTTTTTTTTTTTTTTTTTTTTTTTTTTTTNTTCAGCACTGGATAACCAGACTGGTATCGTTTGCTGTTCAAGTTCGATCATTTCGTTAAACTGTCTCGGATTGACATTGATTGATGATAGCGTAGTAATAACAATCCTCACTTCTCTGAATTCGAGGGGACTCCTCCATCCCTCTTACTAGTTTTCAAGTATATCTGTCACCTCTCCATGTACATCGATAAATCTCCGTAATCTCGTGTAGTCTATAAAATCAATCAATATTTAACGGAATGAAAACAGCTCCACACTTTTCATGAGAAATAAATTTTCTAACTTGTTTTATTTCAAAATCCTAGGACGCCACATGCGTCATTTTTTTTTTCTCATAACAGCTGAGTGGACAAACCCAATGCCGAATAATTCGGATATTGCGGCGCACCGCTGGTTGAATTAAAAGTCCAAGTGTGGTACGTGAAACGGCTGTTGTGAAAAACAATTTTTTTTTCCAACCAAACTTTCTAGCAATATTACCCCATGCATATTAATTCACGTCACTGAATCACAACCGCGAGACCGTACATTCCGAGGGAAAAATGTTTTTTCTCCTGTTTCGAGATTTTATATTGAATTTGAAATGCCTTCTGCTTGGTTATATTTCTATAAGAAAGTAAATAATACAAATTGTGCTTTCCCCTTGTTTCATTTGTTGGTGAAAAGAATGCTTTCAGCTTCAATATTTCTATTTTCATTCGGCATAACCTCTCTCACAATATTAAATAAATATTGTTAGACCATTATTCTCTTTGTTCGATCAAAACATACCATTTGTTCTGACGAGCGTTTCCTCTTTACTAAATAAAAATTAATATCTCAAATTAGGATATTCTAGGTGTCTTATTCGGTCGATTCATTTGAACTGTCGTTATGTTTATCAAATTGAAACTGTAAAAACAGCACCAGTAATAATCTTAGATGAATAATCATCGCTGATCGTTCGTTAGGCTATTTACCAATCAGTGACTACTGGCCATCAACTGACCATTCATTATCGAGATCTTCGACCTGTAATTAACAGTGCTACATTGTGTTTGCTTGGATAAACCTAAGGTATGAGGGCTGAGCAATCATGTTTGATAAATCAGTGATGCGTGCCGCTGGCCATTCCTCCCATACTCCCTTACGATCAATTAAACGATCCGTTTGGTTGATTTACAGGGCTATTAATTTAAAACGGAAATAACGTTTAAACGGATTTTGTATTCGCTTTTAATGATTTTAACAGTTTAAAACATTGCAAGTTTTAATCACATCCCAACACAACATTTTCTAAATAATTTGTCTCCACTCCAACTTTTTTCCCTCTCTCTCGGTCACGTGCTCCAATAGACTAAGTGTATCATCTTATTTCATTACTCATAGTGTATTGACTATTGATTCAATCCTTTTATCTTTTATGCTTCCAAGCATTATTACATTCCGAGTTTTGTGTTGATATCAGAAAACCACACGAGTTTGCTCTCGTCTCCTAGTGAGCACGCTCGATATGAAGTGGTCAGTCAATGGCTGTGAGCTTCCGATCCTTGTATGCCTGTCATTTCAACTGAGAGCACTCTCCGTTTTACGACACTCCCATCCAAGATTTCTCAATGGTCTAGACAAGAGCCCACGCAACATCCGTCCATCTGATCACGTGAGCTCTCACCAACTTTTACCCTGGGGCTGGGGTATTGAATTTGGCCAGAGTGATGTCTCCGAAATGGTCGCCATCAGAGTGCTTCTATTTATTCTTCTTCCTGCAATTTTATTGAAAATGACGTACAAGTGGAACATGGAAAATCACTCATTCGAATTAATTCTAGGGGGGAAAAACGCTTACCCCTTTTATATAATTCAGAGGTGCATGGATGAAGACGCTGGTAATGCACGTTGCTTCGGTCTATATTTCTACTTTTATCTCTCTATTCTCATCATTTTTATCACTCCATTATCGTGAATCGACGATAAAAGGTATGGAACACAGGTGTGAGTGTGAGTGAACAATTCACATTTCGATGAGTTGTGAAGAAATCAAATTTACCTTGTCTCATTGAATTGGTGAATAATTTTTTCACTAATGGATAAGTCACCAAAAATCATAAATTTTTAATGAATCCACTTGTTTTGTGTCTAAAGACTGTCTTGTCTTTACCGTGCATAAACAGAATACCTATGATTGATAGAAAAAAGAAAAGAAATCTGAAAATTTCATTATATAAATCTTTGAATGAGGGATTCAGATTGATTATTGCAACAAGTTGTTTCAACAAAATGAAAATACAACCTTCCGTCTATTCCTCTTCCATTTGAAAAGCAAACATTTGCATTTAAAAAGAGTTTCCCAAGACTCGGCTCGTAATTCCAAAGGGGGAGACCTGAAATATTCCAAGCTGCCTCTCGTACGTTATCGGCCTGTCCTTGGCCAACTCTAACCGTGCATAGTTACGCCCCTTGATAAACGGATAGACGATATAAATCTCTCGAGATTGAGTCTGCGTGACTTCATTTACTTCCCAGGCGGTTGTCTATATGACACTGTGCTAGTATTCGGCGGGGGGACAATCATGTTGAGTGCATTTTCACTTTGCTGGGGCTCATTAAGCCATTATCAACATGCAAAGAGTTAATTTGTAAGAGTGGCCATTCAACGGGGCACATGGGCAAATGCATTTGGTTTTATTCAATAGCTGGCTCATGATGTATGTATTGTTGATTGTCAATGGACTTTAGTTATTGTGGACATGTGCAATTTGTAAATGGTGATGGATTTTTTCACTCATTTGTCGGAAATTTCAGTAGAAAATTACCCCCTTCAAGCCGTTCAATTGAATAAACTTTATGTGATTCTTATAGAGAATTTTTTCTGCAACTAATATTACCAACAATAATATTGTTCAGAGTAATATTGAAAAATTCAGGCCAACAAATTTTTGAAAAAGTTGTAGAACGCTAGGTGTGATTCAGACGGGAGCGATATGGGTGAGTGGCTGTAGTCCTGGGGTAAAACGTTTTGCACGTTTTCTAGATGGAAAGAGGTAGTGGGAGCTTTGAAGAAGTGAATCGTTTCCGCGGCTTCCGATACCTCGTCGAAGAAAACGAGCTCCCGTATGTTCGGTTTCTCGAGATAAACGTTGACGGCGTAATATACGGAAAGTGTTCCGTCAGCATGGATTAATGGATGTGCCCCTGTGGAACGATTCAGGGACCTGGGTTGTAGCGAAATAGACCAGGGGTGAATTTGTGCCGATGGCCGAAGAAGAAGGGGGAGTTAGTTGGGGAAGAAAAAAAGAAAAAAACGATAAAAATAAAAGATAGGACCAAGGGAAAAAGCCCGTGGAATAATGTCATGGCGTGTGGATTCTATATCTCTGAATTGCGGAAAGAAACCAGAGGGAAAAACCGGTGAAAGCTAATCTTTCCGGGCCAGGAACAGCATTTTGCGAGCGAGCAAAGTCGATTGAACGCGCTCATGCGTGGCCTGGGATAGGAACAGACTACGGTGGGTCCATTGCGCCGGCTAAATCAAGGATCTTGTCTATTTATTGCTCTTTTCCCCCTATGGTGACCACCACTATCATTATCACGGCAAAAGTTGGATGCACGATGGGGAGAAATACTGTCTCTGATTGGATTAGCACACGTATTAAAAACGATAATTGGAAATTGTTATCGCAGAGAAATGGCCTAAATTATGGCATTTCACTCATTTTTCTCCCTCGTCATGAGGCAACTTCTTCATCATCATGATAAATTCGAAACAAAGGGTCGAATTTATTCCGCATTTCATGGCAATACCCCTGTCCGATTAAATCCAAGGGACTTTATTTCCATTTGAATTATGATATTAATAAAATTCTCGCATAGACTTGGCTCAGCTGTACCTAATTACAAAAAAAACCATGATGATACACGCCTGATAACAACTCGTGTATCAAGTAGCTCACAAATCCATTATAACCAGTAATATAGGAAACAATATAATGAAATGAGAGGGACATTTCGCTTTTGTATATAGGATCTTCTCTCGTTCTTACACACTGGGAGTTGCCAGTGTCTCTCTTGAATATTTAACATTTCGCTCGGTGAGTTACAAGAATGTTGAGGAAGGATAGTTGGTGCGCGGTTGCACATATTGCCGCATACATATTTGCATGGCCCAGTTGCTCATGTGCTACCCACGGCGACTCTTCGCATATATGAATTGTGAACAAACATGTACTTTTATTCCTTGTTTTTTTTTATCTCCTTCTAAATAATCCCCTCCTTCTCCACCCGCAACGAACCAATTTTCGTTATAAATTTCACCTCCGGTTAATCTCTAAACACAAACAGAAAATTAAATGAAATGAAATAAATATCTAAGTGGATATTAAAATATTATAAACTATAAATTACAAAGCAGCAGACAAAAACAAAATAAAATAGAAAAACCAGGAATTCATATGTTTTGTCCAGTTTTCACAAAGGATTCAATAAAACCGAGGGCAAATAGGAGACTTTCAGGAGGCAACATATTACATAGAATCAAGATGCAATATATAATATAGTGTGTAGAGAAAAAACTGAGGGAAATGGAGAAACTGTCAAAAACCGCATCGCCCTGCAAGCTCATCCTCAATTCTCAACACCGTCCTCCGGATATTGTGAAATTTCACAAAGTACCTTGGCTAGTGGAGCGGGGGGGGGGGNGGGGGGGGGGGGGGGGGGGGGGGGGGGGGGGGGGGGGGGGGGGGGGGGGGGGGGGGGGGGGGGGGGGGGGGGGGGGGGGGGGGGGGGGGGCAAGTTTTGGGGAGGGAGATGGTGGAGAGTGAGGAGTGAGGAGCGTGAAACGATGCACCACGTGCGCCAAATGTGCTTCCAAGAGGCGTTGGCAAGCACCAGCGCTACTCGAATACCTACAGCACCAGAGACGTTATGTGTCCATATTAACACCTGCTGTATGCTCGTCCAGGCCCTATCCCCTGGATTGTACAGTTTTTTAGCATTGTAGCTGTCTAGAGCAGGGGGGAAAATGACATTTTCCCTCTACTCTTGGTTTCTTTGGGCCAAGGCGATAGGCGATAGGCGACGTTCTTGGCATGACACGGAAGGTGTCATTACACCCAACATCCACTGGGTGCTGGTGGCTCTCCTTTCCGGTAGACTGGGCTTCAACATTGCGCATAGGGTGCGTCGAGTCCGGCTCGTTGAACGTTAAATAATTCGTGGCACCGGCTGGTGGGACGCCAGTGTTATGTGTACAACGTTTGACTTTCATTTCAGGGGAGGAGTATTTACAATCATTTCACTCACGACTCACGGATTCAAATGATTTTGACAACACTCAGATGAATAACATTGTTGAAAGAAATTATTTATTCACATTTTTGACATTCAAATTTTTTTAAATTAGATTCAATGAATTGAACAATAATTCAATTTCTAGCTGATAAAGCCTTTATTTTAATCAAGAAAACGATTCTTCGTATGGAAAACAAAAATTATGAAAAATAATGAAAAAAAAAACAACTTATTTGATACCAACATACATAAACACGGTAAATTACTAATTATGATCCAGCTAAAGGAATTAAATCGTGGCTCATAGATGATTCTCGGTATCACGTTTGATTCAAGTTTGAAATTTTCCACCACTGGGGAATATACCGTCGTTTAGCTTACATTTCCCCACACGTGCTCGGATTCAGAGGTAAACCTTTATATAAACGATACGGGGATCCCCCAGAGACAGTGTTTCCCAACTAACCAATTATTGGCAAGTCTATATATTTCTACAAGGCTAAATAACATTTCAACTCTCGGCTCTCATGAGTATATACTCGTAAAATTAATGTTGAGTGGGTTTCGCGGGGTAAAAGCACTTCAAAGCGCTTTTTTATGTAGCGGAAAACGTTTCTGGCCGGATAATTTAATGTTCTGTTTATTCTGAAACAGCTTGTACATCGTTCTCTATGTAAGGAGTGTTGATTTTAGATGAATATATTACATTATTCCCAATCTCTGATTTATTCCCGCGCGCAAAAAAAAAATCCTCTCACTCCAAGGTGGAACAATAAAATACGATAGAGCAATTTAGTCTCTCGTAGATATACCACACGTGTCTCCAGAAAATTTTACGAGCCATTGGTGTTTCAGAGGCGCCACGGGGGACTTATCTGCTGATAGATGGCAGACGCTTGGACCCAGGAAATCAGTTTGTACCGGTGAAGGAGGGCTCAGATCTGACACTGGAATGTGCTGCTGAGGGTGGCAATCCACCTTCAATCTTGTCCTGGGGTATGACACTCTCTCAAACAACTCTTGATGGCCCTGAACAGCCACCGGACAATCTCACTGTTGTACCGTCTGCACGAGGCGGCCACAGTGGTGCACATCTCAAGGTGCTGAGGGGACATCACAATGCAACGATTATATGTACGGCACGCCATGTCACATTGACAATGCCATTGAATGCAAGCATACTCCTTGATGTTCAGTGTAAGTACCTATTCTCGATCACGTTCGTGAGATTCCAGGCATTATTCATGTTACTATGATGTCCTTGGGTTAAAAAGCTGTAGTAAACTACAACCGGAAAAATCAAACTTAAATTATATTTTTTCTGCCGGGCGACAAAATACTTCAGCTCAATGAATTGTACGAATATTTTTATGAGTCTCTATAAGAGGAGCATCTTAATTCCTCTATTTCTCAAATCGTTTCCTTTTTTATATCCCTCCCGAGATAATATCGGCGAGGAGACAATGCTGCGGCTGATTTCAATTGAAATTTAATGAAATTTCACAGTAATACTAATAACTACCTGTTAATGGAGATTCACGCCCAACAAAGATTTTAATGATAAACAGTCCAGCGCTGTAGCCTTTGGAATACAAGATGTCGAGTAATTTTCAGAGTTGAATTTGATAGATATTAACGAGGAGAAACACCCCTCCATCCTGGCGGAGGTTACAGTTCGACGTCTATGTAGAATACCATTGTACCAATTTACACACAACTCCAGTTGATTACGTGATCAAACATAATTTGATGGAATAGAGTGGCTATTCTTTGCCGTGGTGGTGGAGAAATGAACATTCAAATATTGACGTGAGTGAATTTGGGGAATTACGGGATCTCTCGTCATTTTCATAAGTTGATTGAAGGAATGAAAAAAGTCATTCACAAATTAATACCGCTGGCTCCAAGATCAGCGGGATTACAGCGTCGCTTGACAAAAAAAAAAAGAAAAAAAGAGAAATTAAACCCCTTTCTCAAATCCGCACTCCTAAGCAATAGATTCACCCCCGAAATCGTAAAAAAGTACTTCGCCCAACTCCCTATAACCCCATTTCATCAATTTCACCTGGCCCCGCAGACCTGCCGTCCCCCATAAAAACCATTTCACTGCTCCTCAACCAACTTTACAGCAACTAACAATATGTAACCTAGCATATAAATTCACCTGCAGCCTCGTCGAAATTGAAATATAAGTTTAATTAAACCCAGATCTGCGCAGTGTGGACTCCATAACTCTCCCTCAACCAAGTAGTATAGCCGATACTTGTACCTCCGACTTGTATTATACCGTAGAGTTTATTTTCTCTGCCTCTTTCGCTACTTACTCCCAGGCGGCAGGTCTCCGCAGGTCCTCCTTCAACATTTTCCCTCGACCTCGGTTGTTTTCCTCCTTACCTGGCTTCAGCCCCCCCCCCCTCTCTCTCTCTCCAGTAGTATTGAACCCCTTGCAAAGTCTTGGAAGCACTGCAGCAGTTTCCCCGGTAGTTTTCTGGAAAACTTGACGGTGCTAGGGATTAACTCTTGCACGAGAGAAAAAAAACGCCAAGCGCCCTAAGAATGCTAGTTCTTCATGGGTCTTGAATGTAAAAAGAAAGGGGAGAATTTTGATTTAAGAGACAAAAAATGAATATTATTCATTTGTCGTCCAGGAATTTCCTCATTGAAAATTTACAATTTCACGGAAAAATCAATCTAAAATTTCAATTTTCTTCCATCAGTAATAACAATTGACAATAATAGTATAAAAATTTCTTTCCTCCGTGCAAACGCAGAGGATTTTCACGCGCCTCGAAACGTATATACATCACTCCAAACGTTTCCTTCTTACTCCGTTAGCTATCCTTTCCAGAGCTCCCGAGCGTATCGTATATATATACACTTCTTCGCCCATTTTGTAGTCCCTCTCTTTTTTCACGAGTATTTTCAACAGACTCTCATCCCCCCGCGATCATCTCGTCGCTCGTCTCCAACTTGTCTTTTTTATTTCGCTCATGTTTTCTCTATTTTTTAACCCTCCCTGGCAAAGTAATTTCCGGGTAATACTGCTTTATTGCGAAAAGTCTCAACTCCCTGATCACTCGATGTGAATTCTTCTGATGGTGCATAACATGTCGAGAGACTTTGAGTTTAACAGTCTGCAATAAAACTGGTGATGACACGAATTTCACGGTTGATCTGTCACTGCATTGATATATGCGGGTACTCGAATGTTACAATAGCTTATACGGGCGCTGATGGGACTGTTGGTTTTTTTTTTTTTTTCAATTTTTTTACAGCTGTACTGCAAAAAAAAACAGTGCAGTTTGAGGGGAAACAATTGAATATCAATCCTACTACTCGATTCCACCGTAAACAGTAATTTTACGCGGGTTGCGGGAGATTTCACCCTGTGACATGATTGGACGGTGCGATAAGTACATTTTTCATGAGAAATTCAAGCCCCCCCGTAGCGCAATAAATTGGCAAAGGGGTTGGGGATGATGAGGGACTGGAGAGAATGTATTTTGCTGGGAAAAGAGGGAAATATTCAACGGATAATCCAGCCTCAAGGTTGATAGGGGAGTCGAGTGGATGATGGTATAGACTCGGGTAATTATGGTTCTGTGTGTTCAGGCTCTTTTTTTATGGGTATGAATAGTGTAATATGGAATTTTTTAGTGGATAGATTCTTTTTTATGCGGAATAAAAGGCAAATTGGCTTTGGTATTTCTACATTTCTCTGGCTCGTATTCAGTGATCCTTATAGGCTCTGAACAGTTTGACCTAGATATCATTGAGACGGATAAATTTACTCGCAAATTGAATGCAGTTGTTTCTCAAAGAAAATAATGAATCGAGTTTCACGGGGATTCGTACTGGGCTACTATTTGTCTACAGTCGATGGAGTTTTTTTTTTCTGAATTATCTCGGGATATATATTTATAATGGTTATGCTCTTGCTGCATGTCAATGTCATCCACAATGAACAATTTTATTATAGTTAAACGGGTACTTGGATGCAAGGAGTTTAGGAAGAGCCGAGCCGTAGTTGCCTCCTTCAGCCGGTAGGTGTTTCGCTATTCACGTCGGAGCCCGGCTTACACTCGATCAATCATATTCAAATCTAGTGTGACAGTTTACTCACTTGAAGCACTATATTATCCTTGTAGTTGGAAAACCGTGCTCAGCTGGAGTTGATACTTGTTGGAGTAATTTTACCACTCGTCTATTGAGGATCTTGCTTGATTTCGTCGAGACTTTGTCGAATGGTCAACTTTTTCCGCCTAAAAACGAGACGTTTTTATAATGTCTTGAAATTTAATTTTTTTTTTCAGTTTTCACTTTTTCCACATACTTTTGAGACTTCTGAATAGCCCGTCGCTTAAATAGTTGGAATCAACGTTCACCCGGCTAAAAAAATCTATTTTGGCGAAAGTCGACTTTCCCCCGGAAAAAACGGAAAATCTGACCCTTTGAAAATCTGAAAAAAAAAAATTTTTTCAGTTTTCACTTTTTCCACATACTTTTGACAGTTCTGACTAGCACGGCGCTTAAATAGTTGGAATCAACTTTCACCCGGCTAAAAAATTCGATTTTGGCGAAAATCTACTTGCCCCGGAAAACCCGAAAATCTGACCCTTTGGCTGGGGCCAAAAAAAACGGTTTCTCAGTTTTGTCTTTTTCC